ACACAGTGAGAAAGTCTTCATTCTGAGTATTCACTGTACACGGTACTGACACACAGGGACATTTTCAGACACGGATGCACCTACACTGAGCACCCCCTCACAATTTTGCTTTTTCTATTCCCAGCATTATTTTTTCTGGAATATCTTAGAGCAAACCTGGGAATTCCCATTCCCCTCATAAATACCTTGGCATGCATCTCTAACTACAGGATTGTTTTTACAGTGCCAATTGTTAATTCAACATGCTAATTAAAAACAAATTCCTAGAATAACCTAATGGTGTGTTTAAATCTCAATGCTAGCCTCAGAAATGTCATTTTACAATTGATTTATTAGACTCAGAATCCCAAATGGTGTCTATCATGTTACGCTGTTACATTTGTCTGTTGTGTCTTATTTATTTAATCTGTAGGCTTTTGTTTGTTTCTTTCTTTCTGCCCTTTGTTTTTTTATAGAGGGTTGGTATCACTGTGTAATTCAAGCTGGCCTTAAAATTCTCCTGCCTCAGCCTTCCTGTGTGTTACAAACTTACTCCACCAGTTCTTTTGTGTGGTCCCTCACCCAAGGTCTTGCTATTTATCCAGGCTGTAATCAATAGTTCGACAATCCTCCTGCCTCAGGTGCCCAAGCTGGGGTCATAGGCATGAGCCGCCATTTCAGGTCTTTTGTCTCATTTAGGACAAGAGTAATATAGGCATTGTTCTTTGTTTCCTTTCTTCATTTAGCAATGTACCTTGATGATCTCTCTGTCATCAAGATCTCATTCTATTTATGCCTGAGTGTTAGTATTCCATTATGTGGGTGCTAGGGATTATTTTCAACATTTCTGACCATATTTTTTATGTTAGTACTGTGAAACATAGGTGATTACCCACATATTAAAGAAAAATTATTAGATCACATCCTCCCAAATTATTAAACTTCAAAAAAAAAAAAAAACAGAATGGAAGCAGGAGAAATGTGCAAAGTCTCAAATAAACACAGTAGTTTGAATTTACAACATTTGAGAAAAGAATCACCAAAATCTGATAAAGAAACTAAACTGAAATTACCAATAACCTATAATTTTATTACTAAGTTAACAAAAAAAGGCAGACTGGGGGCTGGAGAGATGGCTCAGAGGTTAGGAGCACCAGCTGCTCTTCCTGAGGTCCTGAGTTCAATTCCCAGCGACCACACGGTGGCTCACAACCATCTATACAGGGATCTGATGCCCTCTTCTGGTGCACAGATGTATTTGCACTCTTCTACATTTAACTAACTAACTAACTAACTAACTAACTAACTAACTAACTAACTAACTAACTAACTAACTAGCTATTTTTTTAAAAGGCAGACTGGGTGCAGCGCACACACCTGTAATCCCAGCACTCAGAGGTGGAGGCAGGAAGATCGGGAATTTACTTGCATCCTTTGCTACAAAGAGAGTTCAAGTCCAGCCTAGACTATATGAGACTTTCTCAAAACACCAGATAGATAGATAGATAGATAGATAGAAAGATAGATAGACAGACGGACAGATAGATAAAAGAATGAATGAACAAATCATTTATTTTAACCTGATTTTCCTGGAAAGAGGCTGAAGAGAAAGAGGAGCGGTAAATGCAAGCCCAGGGATCGGGGCGCTCGTCGGGGGACAGGGGTGATGCAGTCAGGATGAGGCATGCTGAGCTGGCCTGAGGGGTCCTGCTGAACGGTCTGGATGAGTGCCCTGGCCCTCTAGCTGCAGTCCCTGTCTGTCGGCCCATTTAGCCGGCTGGGCAGGCTCAGGGGCTGCTCGCTGTCAATCAGCTTCCTACAGGCGGTTCTGCGCCTCCCGGGCAGCATCAACAGTGCGCATGCCTGAGGTGGGCAGGCCCGCCTCTAGGACGTCAAAAGGCAGCAGCCTTGTTGGTCTGAAGCATGAACTGCAATGATGCACAATTTTCAGGAAAATCATCCCAATCTCTGTCCTTAGTCAGAAATCTTTGGTAACAAAAAAAAAAAAAAAAAAAAAAAAAGATAGTTTTGGACACAAAGCTAAAAAAGAATCTTAACAAGTCGTCCGATGTTTTTCCGGGACCTTCAGCAAACCATAAATTCATTTTTGAAAATTCTGAAGGATGTTTTACATTTTCCCTTCAGTAGTCCTCTCTAGCATGTAAACAGCAATGTCAGTCAGTCTTAAGACATGAGCTGTCTACACCCACACACATAAACGCGCACATATACAGAGAGAAATTACTTAGCTAAAGTAATCAGATATTCTGTTCAAGCGTGTTTGTGAGTTAACGACATAATTTCTTCAGCTAACACAAATGCTGGCCGTTTTGACTTTTTAACACTTACCCGGCATTATACCACCTGTCATTTGGCAATTGGGAGACAGAAGCAGGAGGCTCGCCACAAGTTGGCGGCTACTGTGAGCTCCATAGTGAGTTCCGGGCTAGCCTGGGCTACAGAGTGAAATACTGGCTACCCCCCCCCCCCCCTCCCCCCCGTGTAAAATTTATGAAACCACCTTAAGCCAGGCCTCACTCATAGGTTTGGTTTTGTTTTTGTTTTTTTTGACACAGGATTTCTCTGTGTAGCCCTGGCTCACGGTTTGTTTTGCTTTTCAATGAGATCTTACAGTCCGGGCTGGCCTCAGACTCAGGATCCTTCTTTCCAGGGTCCTAAGTGCGGAGACTGTGGGCCTGTGTTACCACATCCAGCTAGGATGTAATTTGTCTGTGACAAAATCCGTAACCTTTTTTGGGAAAAGAATTAGCAGGGTTTTTTAAAAAAAAAATAAAAAATATTTCAGTTAGTTGGTGAAGCGTATGCCACGATGGGCACGTAGATCTCAGGGAACAACCTGCCAGCATCACTTCCCGCCTTCCACCCGAGGGTCCCAAGGCTGAGATCCGGTCAGCCGGCTTAGTGCAGGGACACTTACCCAGTGAACCATCTCCCCAGACCCGACATGACAAAATGTGTTGCACGCCGGTTGGAGGCCTAACTGGTTCCATTTTTATGCCTAGTCTATGTTCCGTGTGTACCATTGGTCTCCCTGGCTTTCTATCTCTCTCTTTTTAGATGTTTCGGGTTTTAGTAAATCTTTGAATAGACTTGCCATAGCTCTTATGGAGCAATTTCTTTCTCGTTTGACTAACTCTGCGGCCCGGGTTGGCCTCTGATTCATGGAAATCTTCTTGTTTGCATTCCAAGCGCTGACTTGGAAACTCTTGCCTTCTTGCAGTAATTTTGAAATAAAACTTGAAATACAAAATATTAATGTCTTGGGGTTTTATTGCTGTGAAGAGACACCAGGACCATGGCAACTCCTATCAAGAAAAATTTAATTGGAGCTGGCTTTCAGTTTCAGAGGTTTAGTCCACTATTGTCACAGCAAGAAGCATGGCAGCATGTAGGCATGGCAGCATGCAGGTGCCGGAGGAAGAGCTGGGAGTTCCACATCTTGGTCCACAGGCAGCAGAAGGAGACAGCCCCACTAGGGCCACCTTGAGCCTCTGAGACCTCACAGCCCACCCCCACGGTGGCACACCTCCTCCTCCTCCAACAAGGCCACTCTTCCTAATGTGCCACGCCCCGTGGGCCAAGCTTCCAAACACAGAGTCTGGGGAGGCCATTCCTATTCAAACCACCGCAATTGAATAACATCAAAGTTAAGATTTAATGCCTGAAAGTTGGGGTGTGGACTATCCACAATCCTGTTGTGATAACAGCGCAGCCCTTTTCCTCATGGAAATTGTCTTGCCCGTCGCCTACGTCTATGATTGATGGATAAGAACCGCAAGAAACATCGGTCTCTTGCAGAAAGAACTCTGCTCCAGGACTGCAAACGACTACAGTCACAGACGACAACGCAGCCTGATCCAGATGCCTGGAACTGCCGAGTGCTGATGGGATAGTCACACACATTAAACATTAATTATATTGATATGAAAGGAAGGAAAAAATGGGGGACTGAGGAGTTTATTTTGTTGTCTGATTTTTATTTATTTATTTTTTTTTATTTTTATTTATTTTTTTTTTGAGACAGGGTTTCTCTGTGTAGCCCTGGCTGTCCTGGAACTCCCTCTGTAGACCAGGCTGGCCTCGAACTCAGAGATCGCCTGCCTCTGCCTCTGCGCTGGGACTAAAGGCGAGCACCACCACGCCTGGCTGTGAGGAGGCGTATGCCCACAGACGCTCCTTCTTCTGTCTCTTCTTTATTTGAAATTTGACAAAAGAATCTTATCATAGTCCAAGCTAGTCTTGAACTCACCATCCCCCTGTTTCAGCCTCCAAAGGACGGCGCTACCCACTGAGCCCAAACTCCTCTCCCTCTCTGCAGATGACGTGGCGTTTGTCTGAATGACTGAATGAACGCCCTGGCCGACTCTGCTTGGAGGCAGAGATGGAGTGGGCGTCCTCAGCTTTCCTTCCATCCCGCCATTCTGTGGTTTCTTCGACTCCAAACCTTGGCTAGGTTTCAAACTTGTTTTAATGGTGGAAAGCCAACCCGAGTCAGGTGGCTCACATCTGCAACCCCAGAACTGGAGAGGCTGAGGCAGGAGGATTACCTCGAGTTCAAGGCTTGAAAGCCGAGAGGCTTTCAGATGAAAGCAAGGAATGAAATATCCCCCTCCCACCCCCAGCGTGGCCACGTTAACACCCGGAGGGCCCACTAAACGCCAGCGTCCATGCAAATTCCCCAAAAAAAGGAGTGCGGCCACCGCGCTGACCTGTGGCTGGGGCGGGGCGGTTCTTGGAGCGCACCCAGTTGCATTCACCCCGCTACGACCCCTGACCCGCGTGCACATGCGGACGCCAGCCGCTGCGGGTCTGATGCACAGTTCCTTCAACTGATAAGAGAAAACTGCTGAAGTCATGAGGCTGCTCCGGGGAGAGCCCTCGTGTGAGTCATGCAAAAGCTCCGCTCTGCTGACCTCTGGCAAGACGGGAGTGACTGAGGACAGAAGAGGCGGACTGGGGAGAGGTTCAAGGGCGGCTTTTCTCCTTGAACCCGGACTATTATGGGTCAGGAGCTGTGTGCAAAGAGGCTACAGCCAGGATGCAGTTGCTACCGCCGCTCGGAGGGAGGGGAGGCGCACAGCTGTCAGAGGAGCCAGCTTGGGAGCGCCCAGGCTCCTGCATTCGAGGTATTTGTGTCCCGGGAGGAGCATCTTTCTTTATTAGTAAACCCAGCAATTCGGACAGACACTCCCTTTTATAGCAGGGTCTGATTCCTCTGCGGTAGGTCCAAACTCATAAAAAGGAAATTCTATTAAAGTCACAGAGGATTTATGGCCGAAGTTATCAAGTTAGGGGATGTGCTTGTAAACCAGAGGAGGGGAATAATCCTTGGCTTTGGTCTCTTCTGACTTGAAATAGAGAAGGGCTCTTCTCTGGACTTCGCTGAGCCACTAAATTGCAGGGCTGAACTGTAGAGGGCTGTCGTACTGGTAGGTCCTCTGTGGGTCCTCAGTTTCAGTATTTAGCTCCTGATTATTAGCAGCGTTTTACTAGATTATTCTAAGGCATTACCTTAAGGACGCAGGAAGGCCGGCAGGCTTGGGGGGAGACTGAGTTAAACCAGAGAAATTGGAAAACACCCATTCAGGAGACTGGGTTAAACTGCAAGTGAAGGAGAAATTGAGTATTTCAGCGATTGGTACCACAGCAGCCTCAAAGGGATTTGGCTTTCAGGAAAGATGCCTTTGCCTGGTGGAGGACGCCTAGAAAACAAAACAAAACAAAACACAGGCAAAGAAAACAAAGAAAAGGTTTACCAGCTACCAGATGTTGATTTCGTATGCATTTTGCTCCTGTGCTTTTTTTTCCCCCCCTCCAGCTAACAGACCTAAAAGAAGCATCACGTTCCACGTCTTCGCTTCACCCCAGGGGACTCCAAGTTATCGGTGCCCAGAAGCGGCCACGGAGTAACAGTGACTCTTTTCAGGAAGAGAATCTGAGGCAGGGGTTGCCATGGGTGAGTGAGCGGCTGGCTGGCATCAACAAGAATTTCATGGGTGCTTGCTTAGGGAAGCTGGCCCTCACTTTCCAGGGATGCCTGTGTGGGCTCCCAGGTGCATGCACGCGCGCACACACACACACACACACACACACACACACACATACACACATACACACATACAAATACATATAGAAACATGCACACACTCACACACACAGACAAGCATACACACATACACACACACACTCTCTCTCTCTCTCTCTCTGCTGCCTAATGCCCCTGGGGAAAAGATAAGTCAACATATTTTTGAAATGTTCTTTCTGTCTTCCCCCCTCTCGCTCCACCCTGTCAGCAGAAAAAGAGCCTTCCTTTTGGGGCAGCCTCTTCTTACTTGAACTTGGAGAAGCTGGGTGAAGGTTCTTACGCCACCGTTTACAAGGGCATTAGCAGGTGAGTGACTTCTTAAAGATTTCGGATGAGGGTTCTCCTATTGCATTATAAAGCCAACCCACATATCACACAGACTTACAGCCTTTGGGGCTGTGGCAGGACATCTGGGCCAACAGGGAGTTAGATGAGGTGATTTTAACAGCCTTAAAAAAACAAAAAACAAACAACAAACAAACAAACAAAAACCCCTGCTCTTCTCTAGCTAAAATCAACAACTGAAAAGGTAGACCCTCCCCACTGTTGACCCAAAGAACAATTACTACCCAACAAGAAACCCTGTTAGTAAGATGTCTCTAGAAAGGTTTTCTTATCCCTTTCTAAATCTCAAAGTGTAGAATATCCAAAAACTATGTCCTGCATTTTCTGTGTTTGTGAAATATACCAAGTGGAAAAAAGAACATTTGTCCAAAATCCAAGTACCTGGTTCAAAGACAGAATTCTGGTCTTTCTGTTACCTTCTAGTAAAAGTAGAAAAGTTGGAAAACCTTTTCCTTTAGGTTATAGTACTCCAATAAAAAAAAAAAAATAATGACTTAGTGGTAGTCGTATTTTAAAAGTGCAAATATTATAAAACGAAGTCTTTTCATTTATCGTAACGTTTGCATACTCATGCTGCCTTTGCTAAAGTGAGATGTTAGGGAAATACAATTTTAAATTATTGTACAGAACCAGGATTTGACTTATGACCATAGGTTATCCCAGAAACTAAAAATATAAAATGTTTCTCTCAAGAAATTCAAAATAGGATGAAAAAGTACATTAGACATGCTTCCAAACCTGAGTTCAAATCCCCACATCGATGTAAAAATCTAGGTGAAGCTATGGATGCCTGTAATCCCAGAACTGTGAGGAGACAGAGGAGTGGGGACAGTGAGGCTTGCCAGCCCGTAGGCTATCTCCAGGTCCAGTGAGAGATCTGGCCACAAAAGAATAAAATATGCATTATATAAACAAAAGAACTGTATTTCCACTATGTGTAATATACCACGAAAGGATTCTATATATGTATAGTACATAGAAGGGAAAAGAGGTTTATAATAGCATTAAAAAAAAAAAACTGGCCCCAAATATCCAGTAGATTCACCACACTGTGAACTAATATAAACAGAGGCCCAGTACTGAAGAAGGGGGTGGGGTGAGGATGCTGGCCACAGAACAAAGTGTACTGGATGGTCCTGTTCAGAAAACAAAACAAAACAAAAACAAAAACAAAAAAACCACTTATTACTTATGCAGATTGAAATGTACACAGAAAAGTCTGAGGACAAAAGATTTTATTTTAGTGGTTGAAACTGGAGGCTATGAATACAGAACATTTATGGTGTAGAAGCACATTTTAAAGTCCCATAGAGAGCCAGGTCTGGTGGCATAGACCCATAGTCCTATCACTCAGGAGGCTACAGCGGGGGCAGAGTGAGACCTTCTCTAAAAACAAAAAACTATCTTAGATGTTCTAGATAATGCAAAAAGACTAAGACTAGAGATCATTTTTTCTGGGGCGTGGGGTTGTAGCGTGGCCTTTCTAAAAGATGTCTAATCACCTAAGAGATTATTAGGCTTAATAACACATAGTAATTGTGTGATCAGTTATAAAATCAATACAAGTTGCTTACGTATTCAATAAGTATTTGGAAAATACAGTGAAAAATATATTCTCACAATAGCAGGAAAATATAATTATCGGAATTAAAACGAGCAGGATTCATAAAGAGCTGCCGTGGTATATAAAAGACCTAAATCACTTTGCTGTCATAAACTAATTTTTCTGTGCTGTTAATATTTGTTATGCTCCATGCCATGTCTTATCTGTTAAGAATGTTTTGGAGGGCTGGAGAGATGGCTCAGCTGTTAAGAGCACTGTCTGCTCTTCCGAAGGACCCAGGTTCAATTCCCAGCACCCACAGCTATCTATAGCTCCTGTTCCAGAGGATGTGTTTGTATATACATGCAGGCAGAACACCAGTGCACATAAAAATAAAACACATCTTTTTGTAAAAAAAAAAAAAAAGAGTATTTTTGAGAACTAGAGACAGACACTTCTGCACGTGTGGAGCGTGGGAGGAGCACAGAACATAAACTGATAAAACAGCGGATGAAAGGAGGATGAGTTCCATGGGAAGGAAGGCAATGGGAAGATCTGAAGATGGCAGAGAGGCAATCACAGTTTTAAACAGAGAGGCGAGAAGAGGTCCCGCAGAGAAGGAAATATTTGGAGAGGAAATCTGAGGGAGGTGAAGATGAACTGGATACAGGGACACAGAGGACAACTCCAAGCAGGGGAGGGCAGGGAGGAGCAAGTGGGGATGTGTGTGCTGTAGTGGATTCCAAGGTGTTTGCAAATGTAGAACGGTTGGAACCTGTTAACATGAGGATGTCAGTGGACCTCTGACTTCAGGTTTTGGTGTGTACTAAATAAAGGGGCCCCTTGAAATACTTAAGGAAGTGGTGATAGGACCCCACCCTGACCCCTGGGAACCCGAATACAAGGATACTCAAATCACTTACAGAAAATGGCGCAGTCTCTATATTATAGAGAATGACAAGAAAAAAGTCAATACACATTCAATACACAACCAATATTCTTCTCAAGTATTTCTAATCTGTGATTGGTTGAACACACACACACATATGACCCACAGATTCAGAGAGCTGGTTGTATAATCTAAGTACAATTAAACTTGTGTAGCACAGATATTAAAAAAAAAAAAAAAAAGGATCAACTCTTCCTAATGTAGCCCTGGCTAGCCTGGAATTCAGTATGTAGATCAGGCTGGCCTTGGGTTTGTGATCTTCCTACCTCTGCCTCAGCACTGAGATTACAACATGCACGTGGCAGAAACAGGATTTTTTTAAAGCCCTGAATATATACAAATACAAGTAATTAGTAAAATTTAATATGTAAACAAATTATCAGGGAATAGAAAATGTTCCCCTAAACGGAACTGAGACAGTAAGCCATTTTTGAAAATTGGATGTACAATAAGAATACAGTAGATTTAAGATTTAAATGAACAACACAGTGTAGAATAACTGGACAGGAAGATGAATTCTGTGCAGCCTGTAGGCTGGGGAGGTCCGTTTATGAATAGAACATTCTTGTCAGATTCCATATGGGAATAGAGAGGCCATGGTGCCCGTCTGTCCACCTATGTGGAGCACCAATTCCAAGACATTTTAACAGGTGTTTCACAGAAACAGCTATAGCTGAATCAAGACTGGCAATCCTAGACAAAATAAAATTCCACCTTTTTTTTTTTTTTTTTTTTTTTTAGTAGGACACCACACCTGGCCCACTTCTGTGGTTTTTTTTTTTTTTTTTTTCAATGTTTATTTATTATTTATACAGTATTCAGTGCAAAAGAGGGCATCAGATCTCATTATAGATGGTTGTAAGCTGCCATGTGGTTGCTGGGAATTGAACTCAGGACCATCTCTCTAGCCCCCATCTTTTACAATAGATGCCTTCAGCATATCAAAACTGCCTATGTGTGCCATGATTATCTACATAAGGGCAGTGGTGATTCTGAAAGTGTGAAGCATTTCTAAACATATTTGACCAAAAAGGTTGTTTGTTTGTTTGTTTGTTTGTTTTTAATAGGTAGGTGGAATAGAATTTTTACAGAGTCACACTCTCAATAAAATATTTTGGGAAATACTAAACATCATACAAAAGAATTAAGTTCAAAATTTGAAAGACAAAAAGAAAGTGATAAAAGCCAAGGTAAAAAAAAAATGTTCTTGTAAAATCATGAGGGAAGGACAAAACAAGTAGAAAAGACTGAGGAAAATGCACTTCCCAAAGCAAAGAAATTGAAATTAATGATACACACATAGACCAAACTGTGAAGGTAAAAGCAACGGGGAGCAGACTTACCAGTCCACAGAGGAAGGCAATGCAGCCAGTCCTGATGAGACCTGATAGATTGGGATCAGAAAAAAGGAGAGGAAGTCCTCCCTATCAGTGGACTGGAAGAGGGGCATAGGTGGAGAAGGGGGAGGGTGAGTAGGATTGAGAGGGGAGGAGGGAGGGATACAAAGTGAATAAACTGTAATTAATAAAAATAAAAAAAACTATATTAAAAATAATTAATTAGAAGGAAAATGATAATAATAAACAAACTGAGCATAGAAAGTCTAATTTTGAATCCTGGAAAGATTAGTTAATTCTTTAAAATAAAGAATGTATATAAGCAAACAAACAAACAAACAAAAACAGCAAAACTAAGCTGGCACTCACGAGGAATTTGGCAAAGCCACGTGGGCTCAAGGGAAGAGTTTCCAAGGGACAAACCTGCCAAAACCAAGGCACAAAACGAAGTGGTATCGTGTTATAACCCAAGGAATCAAATATCCGTGAGTTTCTGCTGCTGCAAATGAATGGCTCAATAAATTAATAAATAAGAAAGCAGAAATACATCTTCCATGCAAAAGAACTCCAGATACCTTCCATGGATCTGCTGTCTCAGAAGTGGATCTTAGTGGACCCATGCCCAAAGGGAAGGCTGCACTTAGTGATGCTAAAGCAGGGGGAACGGACAGTCACTCTGCAACAGGCAGTCATCTAAGCCCACCGCAGACAGGTGGTTACAGTCAACGAGAAAAGTCTCAAGCCAGGACAATAGAAAAGTGTTCCCATGATACACTACAGTCAAGATGGCTCTTGACCTTCCCCCAAACTCAGAATTACAGAATTTTTGTTTGTTTGGTTGGTTTTGAGTTTTTTGTTTGTTTGTTTGTTTGTTTGAGGCAGGGTTTCTCTGTGTAGCCTTGGCTGTCCTGGACTCACTTCGTAGACGAGGCTGGCCTCAAACTCACAGAGATCCATCTGCCTCTGCCTCCCCAAGTGCTGATATCACAGATGTGTGTCCCCGTGCCCTGCACCTTCGAATTTCTTTACTCACACTCCTGAAAACCATCAGGGTAAACAAACCCAAGGCAAATCTGGCAACTGCACAGCCAAGAGGAGCCTAGTGAGACACAACAAGTCAGTGAAGTCCTGAATAGAATCTCGGACAATAAGAAGGCCATGAAGTAAAAGCTAAGGAAATCCTCATTTTAATAGCGGTGCATCAATATCGGTTCATTAATTATTATCATTACTGTACACTATTTTAGTTTAGGATTTTGGTTGTTATGTTTTGGCTTTTTTGAGACAGATTCATGTAGTTCAGGTCGGCTGAACTTCAGATGTAGCTGAGGATGACATTGAACTTCTTGATCCTCCTGCCTCCATCTCTCAAGTGTTATAGGCGTGAGTCACCATGCCCGCTTGGTTCATTAATTGTAATAACTGTACCTCACTAATTAAGAGTCAACAGAAGAAGAAACAGAAAGCAAGGAAATAGGAACTTCCTATCCCATCTTCTTAAGTTTTCTAGAATTTTAAAATCGTCCTTCAAAAAACAAAGTTAAAAACAATAGAGCTGAAAATGCAGCTCAGCACCACCATGCTCTTTGGGAAGCAGCTTGGGACACGAGTTCACATTCATGAAAGCACTGCCTACTCTATGATTTAGCAATTCCGCTTCTACCTTAAGGAAATAGTGGGAACTATGGGAAAATACTTAGCTGCAGAAATGATTGTCATGGTTTTTCATTTGAGTTGGCTTTTTGAGGCAGTCTCATGCTAGCCCAAGCTGGCCTGGAACTCACCACATGCCCAGGCTGACCTTGTGACAACCTTCCTCCTACTTCGGCCACTCAAGGGCTAGGGTTACAATAGGAGCCTCCATGTCCAGCACAGTATTCTTAAAATAACCTCAAACTGCAATTTATAAGAATTTGGAATTGGCAAAACACATTGTGATGTATTTGTATGATAAAACACTGTAACATTATTAAATATCACATTTTGTAAGAAGCATGGTGTCTTATGCCTGTAACCCCAGCACTCGAAAAGCTGAGTCAAGAGGGTTGTTATGAGTTCAAAGCTGGCCTGTCTATTAAAACATCACGAACCATAAAAGAGAATGGAAAACAGAGAGAGAACAGATTACTGACTGTGCTATATGGATCTCACAGTGTTAGAAGCAATATGGCTGTAAAGAACTTGCCCAAAATTTTCTTATATGAATACATACAGAGGAGGAGGGAGGGAGGGAGAGAAAAGGGATAGAAAAGGAAATGGTGAGACCTAGGCAAACCAGCTAACGCTTTTGAGAGCTACTGTAAGACACTGGCTGTTGACAAGCTCACCCAGAATTAAAAGCTGGAGGCCAGCCTGGTATATATTACAAGACCGTCTCAACAAAACGAAAACTCACATCTCCCCTCCCCCTGTAAAAACAAAACAAAAACAAACAAACAAAAAAGAACAGAAGGAAAGAAAGAAAAGATAAAAGAGAATTTGGCTCTTATCTGACACGAAACGTGGAGGCATGCTGGGTGTTGAAAAGTAAGTGACATGTTGGGTTGACTTTCACATTAAAATGTCCCCTGGTGCTCTACTGAGAGAACATAGAAGACAAGTGCAAATGCCCAAGCAAGAGGGCTGTTCTGAAGCCACCAGTCAGGTGACATACAAGGCTGGCTTTGGTGCAGCGAACATTGTGAAGGAGGTGGTCGCTTGGTGCGTCTCTGCTTCCTCACGATGTTCTGCGACGAGACACGCCACCTCAGCACAGAGAGGAGTGTTTTCACATATATATGCAACATGTTTTATACATGATGAAGCTGTTGCTTTGAACCATCCCAGTAAGTGTGTGTATGTGTCTGCCCCCACCTCTCTCCAGGATAACCGGGCAACTAGTAGCTCTGAAAGTCATCAGCATGAACGCAGAGGAGGGGGTCCCTTTCACAGCCATCCGGGAAGGTAAGAATGGGAGAGAAAATGGACCCCAGAGATTGTTTCGAGAACTCAGTGTGGCAAAAACATCGCGAAGGATTCCATTTTCCTTCTGGGTTTTCTAAAAGTGATAGTATAATTTCAAAGTTCTTTTTGCCAATGTCCCAAGATTATTTACACGGTTACTTTTATTGTTTGTTCTTGAAGATAATGCTCAAAACTGCTGTCTATAGTATAACCTCTATGAGTGTTTACTAAATGTTTTCCGTATGTTTGGAGTCGTGCTGAAACCATGTCTACACAACCCGTAGCAATTCATTTAAAAAAGAAAAAAAGTGTAACTACATACTAATTCTTGGTGGAGATCTGCCTGATCATAGCTTTTTTTTTTTTTTTTTCTTAGTTTTGTTTTTCCTACAGTACTCAGGGATTGAACCAACGGTCCAACACACACACACACACACGTGCACATACGCACACATTTTTTTGGAGACAGGGTCTGGCTAAGTTTCTCAGGCAGGGAAACTTGCAATCCTTCTGCTTTTAGCCTCCTGGATAGAAAGCATGTTCTCTCAGTGTTTTCTCCCTCTCCCTCTGGAGTGGTCTCATTTATTTATTTATTTTAAATGAGACAGGGTCTCCATGATTTGCTTACTTACTTTGTAGCCCACTCTGGCTGCAAGCTTGCAGTACTGCCCCAGCCTCCTCAGAGCTGGGAATGCAGGTGTGTCTCACCAAGCCTAGCTTCTTGTGTTTTCTTTGCACCCTGGGCAGCCTAGTAAGAAGGTGAACAGATCCACCTTCTCATCTTCTAGCTGCTAGGTGTGAGTGAGGTGATATTGGATTAGATAGCGTGTCTAAGACAGGGCTTACTGTGAAAGTAGCTGATAAGGTGGTTAGTGCGTGACTTATGTCCAAACAGAGGCAGGCTGTTCTTTGTGAACTTGAGGCCAGCCTGGTCTACAGGCTAGGCTCTAAGACAGCCAGGACTAAACAGAGAAACCCTGTCTCAAAAAGCCAAAAAACAAAAACAAGTGGCTGATAGTGGGAAATAGTTCATGGAGCTGTTATGAAGAGCAAATGAGAATACATAACACTTAGTCTGTTTTCAGGGTTCAATGAACGTTCGTTGCTTTTATTTCATTCTTGGTTATTATTTTATTACCTTTTGGTCATATTTTACTAATCAATGGGAACATTTATACCACAGTGTTTAATACTAATAACTATAAATTTAAAATAACAGTGAAATTAAAGAATACAACTTATTAACATTTCATATAAGGTTTCTGTTTGTTTGTTTGTTTGTTTGTTTGAGACAGTGTCTCCATAGAGCCCAGACTGGCCCCAAACTCGCTTGTAAATGAGGATGACCCTGAACTCTTGATCTCCCTGCCTATCCCTCCCAAGGGCTAAAATTACACTTCATGGACTGGGCATAGAATCCAGGGCCTCAAGCATGCTAGGATATTAGTTAGCGTTCTGTTGTGGTGACAAAATACTATGACCAAAGGGAAGAAAGAGGTTATCTGGCTCAAGGGTCCAAAGAGATAAGAGCCCATCGTAGCAGGGGGTTGGGAGTGGCACAACAGCAAAAGGCCGCCATGGCAGCAGAACAGGAAGCTAAGCGATGGCACCTTCGACCACGTGGGTGAAACAGAAAAGAGCAAAGCGGAAGCGGGCGATGCTGGGCGTTCTCAAAGCCGAGCCTGCAGCGGTACAGCTCCTCCAGCAAAACTGCACTGCTCCCGAGCACCACCACCCGCCGGGAACCGAACACTCAAGCCTATAAGGAGTATGTCACACTCAAACCAACACTCCAGGCAAGCGCGCCGATCAATCCACCCACTGTGGAGCCACAGGAATGGTGGGGTTGCGCCTCCGTCCGAAGAAACATTCCGGAGAGCTGGCCCCTGCTTGCTCAGCCTTACTTTCTTCCTCTTAGCTATTTGTCTTCTCCCCGGAATACATACTGCACGCAGAGTGCTGAATGTTTGAGAAACCAGCCGAGGGGGCCCCGTTCTTCGTTCTGTTGTGTTCAGTCTTAACAGCAGACAACCCAAGGACGAAGCGTCTAGAGGCGGTCGCGAACTCGGACAAGCGCAGATCAGTGTGGCGAAGGGAGGCGGATTTTAGGCTGAATTTAGGCCATCGGGCACTGAAAAAGCAATCCAGAAAACGGGTTTACAACTCAATTTGATGCCATCTTCAAACGTCCCTGGACCGCCCTGGGAAGCGTTTTTAATTTAAATAGAAAGGCCAAAAGGCAATCAGCGTAAGCGGGGACTCACCGTGGCCGGGTCAGGTGCAATCCGAGGGGACACGTGGTTTTAAGCGTTCAACACCGGGCAGGGTGATCCTGGCTGGAGGCAGATGTGTGGAGAGGCTAGGAGGGCCCTCCTGGTTCTCCGGGCTTTGTCCTGTTCGCCCACGGCTGAGTTCTCCAGGTCCACACCTGGCCGTCACAGGGAAACCTTTCCGCAGCGCGTTTTGCTAACAGATGTCCTCCGCCTGGCTCCAAGCCCCCGGGTGTGTGTTGTTCTCTTCGCACAACCAGTTCTGCGCTGCGTGTTGGCCTCCCACACAGGTGTTCACAATTATAGCTGGCATTCCACCGTGGGCTGCCTCGGTTTATTTTATGGACTGCCCTGACTGAAAGCTTTGCTTGTACGATACGAAAGGCCACAAAAGGATTCTGACGGGTCGGAGGTGGCTCGACACGCAGTTTCCAACAATGGCTGCCTCTTTCCCCTCCGGTGTGAAAGCCCGCAGCCTTGAAAGCAAGAACTTTGGCACTGGCTCATTTCCCCCCCCCCCTTCACCCCCTCCGGTTAAGACCTCGATGGATGTGAGACCAGAGAGATGGAGGTTAAATGGCCAGGGCTGGGAAGCCAGATAAGAACAGCTGGAGCTCATTAGTTAAAACCCAGGGTCATTAGCTGCAAAGACAACCGAAAGCCATTCGCAAAGAAACTCAAGAGTGAGGGAACCTTCTTTTCCAAGCCCTTGAAGCAAGAATGCGTTTCCTGAGCAGTCTGATTGCCAGGTATGGCAAACCAGGACTTCGTGAGTAGGATTTTGCTGCGTAGACAGTCTCTAAATGGGTAGGATGCACGTTTGTTTCCATGCGATCTTCACATATAATACCGTAATATTACATATCACTGCTATATAATATCAGACAAAAATCTGAACGATACTAAGGGAAAAGCTTAATAAGCTTTTATGCATCCTTCAGTTCTCTTAATACATTTTATCACATGGCCAAACTTTCAAACCAAATTTGACTCAGACTAACACGCGTAACTTTACATGCCTCCACGGGACAGTATGTGCCAGGCGCTCTGCGGACTCCTGGGTAGGGAACAGTACACAAACCAGCCCCTACTTACCTCATTTGTTTGTCCTCGGGATATTGAGGCCCAAAGCCAAGGGCTCACACATGCTGGGCAAGTTCTCCACCACTCAGCTATTGGCCCAGCCCTCTTATTTTTTAATTTTGAGACAGGGTCTCACTGAGTTGCCCCGGCTGGCCCTGAACTCACCTTGTAGCCCAGGCTGGCCTTGATCTTGTTACCTTCCTGCCTTGGTCTCCTGAGGTAGGTGGGATCATGGGCCCAGGCCATACTATCCTCATCTTTTTGCTAATTAAAAGATAGAAAAAGGTGGATGTGGTGATAGGTTTTCATAATCCCAGAACTCAGGAGGCAGAGGCAGGAGGGTCACAGGTCAAGGCCAGCAGAGCCTGCAGAGTCAGGTCTAGGCAAACCAGGCGACCTGGTGAATCCCTGCCTCAAATGAAACAAAATGGAAAAAAAAAAAATAGAAACTTTTTGTAGCGACTTAGAGTTTCCTTATTGCCTCAGAATCACATTTAAAATGTTTACTCTTACAACTGAGAGAAAATACTTTGAGTAGGTTGATTTTTATGGATTTTATATGAATGTGCCTTAGTTTTATTGAATTCTATATTTGACATCCTAAGAATGGGTCTTATTTTAAATGCCTTTATAAAAACAGCCAGCTTTTGGGTTGAACCTAGGACCTTCAGCCTGTCTACAATGTTTCCTTAAGGAAGAAGCCGTATATCTACCCTTGTCCGAGCACCAGGCCTATGACATGTCTCCCTCCGCCAGAGTCCTGGTTAACCCCTTATACTAAAAGCTGAAGCCCAAAGCGTTGTTGCTGTTGTAGAAATGAAGGTGTCCGAGCCTCTGAGAGGCTGGGTAATTTGTCTGGGGTCACAGATACACCCGGCATTTCTGGGCATTAGAACTAAAGTCTGTTATGTTTAAATTTCTCCCTACTTCATCACCTAAAACTGCAAATGTTTGCTTGATATAAGCATCTCCTTTGGCAAGAGTAAACGGGGGAAATGGAAACCTACCCTGTGACGCTCTCTGTGTAAAAATGAAGGCAAACTCAGAAGTAACACTGTCCAGAAAAATAACCTTGAGAGTGTGTTCAGCAGTTCATGCCGCTCTCTCTGCAGAACCGGTAATGGCAGCATCTAAATTAGAAACTGTCGCTGCCGAAAACCTTTTGAGATCATGAAAACCTTTTGTGAAGTCATCACTCCTAATCCATTTGTGAGAAAATTCACCAAAAAGGGGTTCAGGAACCTTGCTGGGGTTGTCCAATCAGATCAGCAAAGACTCTGATAAAAATCTCAAGTCAGCTATTAGCACAGATGGATGAGGGCGGGCCTGGCCGACAGGAATTCTGCCCCAGAACAATCCGATCACGTCAAGGTTATAACGCATTCACCACACAGTTACGGCCTTATGAGAGCTAACCCCAGGGTAATGGCACGTGGGAGGAATTTTTCTTTAATTAAAAATGATTAGTGTACGTGTGTGTGTGTGTGTGTGTGTGTGTGTGTGTGTGTCTGTGTCTGTGTCTGTGGGTTCACGTGTGTGCGTGTGCACATGCACAGGGATCCACTCAAAGCTGTGCCATGATGCCTGTGTGCAGGTCAGAAGGCAACTTTGTGCAGTCACTTCTCTTCTCCAACCTTTACACCCGGG